ACTGAACCCTAGAAGCTCTTCAATAACTACTAGAACCTCCTCACTGACCTTTAAAAGCTCTTCAATAACTGATAGAACCTCCTCAATTACCTCTAAAGGTTCTTCAATAACTACTAGAACCTCCTCACTGACCTTTAAAAGCTCTTCAATAACTACTAGAACCTCCTCACTGACCTCTAGAAGCTCTTCAATAACTACTAGAACCTCCTCACTGACCTTTAAAAGCTCTTCAATAACTGATATAATCTCCTCAATTACCTCTAAAGGTTCTTCAAAACCTACTAGAACCTCCTCACTGGCCTCTACAAGTTCTTCAATAACTACTAGAGCCTCCTCACTGACCACTATAAGCTCTTCAATAACTAATAGAACCTCCTCACTGAACCATAGAAGCTCTTCAATAACTACTGGAACCTCCTCACTGAACCATAGAAGCTCTTAAATAACTATTAGAACCTCCTCACTGACCACTAGAAGCTCTTCAATAACTACTGGAACCTCCTCACTGAACCTTAGAAGCTCTTCAATAACTACTAGAACCTCCTCACTGACCTTTAAAAGCTCTTCAATAACTGATAGAACCTCCTCAATTACCTCTAAAGGTTCTTCAATAACTACTGGAACCTCCTCACTGACCACTATAAGCTCTTCAATAACTAATAGAACCTCCTCACTGAACCATAGAAGCTCTTCAATAACTACTAGAACCTCCTCACTGACCTCTAGAAGCTCTTCAATAACTACTAGAACCTCCTCACTGACCACTAGAAGCTCTTCAATAACTACTAGAACCTCACTGAACCATAGAAGCTCTTCAATAACTATGAGAACCTCCTCACTGACCACTAGAAGCTCTTCAATAACTACTAGAACCTCCTCACTGAACCCTAGAAGCTCTTCAATAACTACTAGAACCTCCTCACTGACCACTAGAAGCTCTTCAATAACTACTAGAACCTCCTCACTGACCACTAGAAGCTCTTCAATAACTGATAGAACCTCCTCAATTACCTCTAAATGTTATTCAATAACTACTAGAACCTCCTCACTGACCTTTAAAAGCTCTTCAATAACTACTTGAACCTCCTCACTGACCTCTACAAGTTCTTCAATAACTACTGGAACCTCCTCACTCTCACCCTCTCCTGTCTCGGCCATTGTACTCTCATCTTCTGATAGGTCTAGGTCTGAATCTCTCAGGGAAGTGTCCTGGAGCCCCTGATGTTTCATATCTCCCATTGTTGATGATCTTAACCCCCCCCCTCTCTCTCTCTCCAGCTTCCTCCCCCTCCCCTCCTCCCTCCCCCGTCCATTACCCCCCCCCAGACTCGGCCACGCCTCCTCCCTCCCACCTCCCCCTGTCTCCACAGTACAACCTTCTGTCTCCCCCGTACTCCCCCTACACGGCCCAGAGCTCCCCCACCTTCCTCCTCACCTCCACCTCTTCCTCAGCTCCCACCCTCCCCCCTCACTGGCCGCCCCCCGACCAGCCTCTCTTCTCTCTGGCCAACGTGCTCTCTCTCGCCATGAGCGTGGCCCAGTCTTTCATGCCCCCGTCTGGGACCCCCAACCAGGGCTTTCATCCCCTCTCTCCCCCCATGTCTCCCTCCATGGGTCCTAAGTTCCTCGGCTCCTTCTCTGCTCCTTTCTCTTCCCAGCTGTCCTACAGCCCCCCCGCCCATCAGACAGGCTCCGCCCCCGACAGCCGAACCCACGACACACCTGAGGCACAGGTGAGCTTCCTGATTTCTGTAGAGGACTAAGAGAAAGCTGATTTCATTCATTCATTCATATGTTCACTCACCAACTCACTCACTTATTCACTCATTCATTCATTCATTTCAGCCTCTCAGTCCTGTTCAGCTGAAGGTTGGCTTAGCTCCGCCCCCTCAAGGTGAGTCCCTGCTGACATCACAAAGTGACATCACACCAAACTGATGACTCACTGATCATTTATCTGGTTGACAGAGACTGTCCTAGCTCCCAGTGCTCCCAGTCCGACCGGCGCTTCTTCTTCTTCTCTTTCAGTGAACAAACCTTCAGTCTTAAACGTCGGTCGTTTCCAGGTGACGCCCTCTAAAGTCATTCCTGCTGTCCGTCACCAGGAGCCCCGCCCCCTCTGTCAGGCCACACCCACCGCCCACTCCCCACCTCCCTCCGGGGCAAACCAATCAGAAAGCTCAGAGAGCAGCTCGAGCAAATCAGAGAGGAGCACGGGGGTCAAGGTCTGCCCGCCTGTTCTTGTCCAGGGTTTCCACAGCAACCCTTGTGGACAGGAGGAAGAGGAGAAGAGGAGGGGGGGGGGTCGGAGGCTGAGTGTCAGCCTGTGGGAGGGGCCGCCTGGCAGCTTCGGCCAATCGTGGAGCCACTCAGCACATTACGTCAGCTCTGATGAATCAGAGAGCGAGAACGAGGAGATGTGGGTGGAGCTGCGGGAGCTTCGCGAAAGGTGATTGGTTGATGGTAAGTTTAATAATCTGTAACTGAAAGAAATAACAATAAATAAAGTTTGAACCCTTTTGAATCCCAGACACCATGTGGAAGTGCAGAACCTGCAGGCCAATCAGAAGCGAGAGATCGAGGAGCTGTACCTGAGGATGGGTAAAGTCCCGCCCCCTGGTATCGTCTCCCCGGCGGCCATGTTGAACCACCGCCAACGCCGCCTCTCCAAGACCGGGAACCCTCGCAGGAGCAGCCTACAGAGACTGGAGGTGCTGCCCCCTGCAGGTGAGGAGGATCCACTGCAATGAAACACAATAATCACACTAATCCTGTTTATTAAAAGGTATTAAATAATAATAATAATAATAATAATGTTTGTGGTTCAGGTATCATGAGGAAGAGCTTGGCCAGCAGCACCGGGTCTCAGGAGAGAGCAGGGAGGGGCGTCACGTTCGCCCCCGAGCACAGCGGCACGATGACCTCATTCAGGTAATCTGATTACATCAGCGTGTGTTACAGGTGGAGCGTCACACAACTGACCTCTGACCTTTCTCTTCCAGTGAGACCAACTGAAGACATGAAGACGTCACTTTGTCATCAAAATCAACATTTATTTAGAAGAAAATATTTATTAATTTATTTTATGGTTTCACTTTGAACTGATTTATTTAGTCAGAATGTTTGATGAGTCTCCACTTATCAATAATATATTTATGATCAGTATATAAACATGTAAACATGTTATTAACTGTTTATTACATGTTTATAACCCTGTGCCTTAAAGAAGAATTATGATTACCGGATGAAACGTGTGATTATTTCATTAAACTTTGTTCATAAATATAAAACTTGATCGTCTCATAAAAGTAACCTCGAACAGCAGAACGATGATTTCTTCAAACATAAACATAAATGTATATTTAAATATATATATACACATTAGTGCTGGGCAACGATTACAATTTTGAATGATTTTTTTGCGATTAATCATGCACTTTTATTTTGAAAGTACTGATATATTGTTAGGGCCATAACTTTTGGACACAGGGAGAAATCGCCCCCCTCCCTGCAGCCACATGCTCTCAATCGCCTCCAAAACACTACAGCAGGTTTAAGTCAAAATCAAATGGATTTATTATCCAAGAAGCATAAAAATAGATACAAACCGAATCACACCACTAATTAAAGCTGCAAGCAGCATTGATCGGGCCCTCGCAACTTCACGCACGTCGAGGGTACTAGCAGGACTCTGGCCATGAATTTCTGTGACCATCACACTCTGCGTGCACGAGTGAGATATTTCCTGCGTAGACCAGCAGCGTAGCAAGATCATGTTGCCAGGTCTTAAGCCTCAAATGTTTTGAGTGTACCTCCGATACAATCATAAATGTAAGCCTTTAAAGATCATTAAGAAAATGAATGTGTGTGAATGTGCTTCAGTGTTTGTAACATAACAGACTGTCAGTTTACTGGGATGGGGTTCAACTCCCTGCAGTGTCCTGCTGATTGTATTTGGACTTACATGAAAGTTAACAAAACAGTAGTGCCATTTGCTGTTACTTGAACACTTTAATTTAACACTGTTTTCATTTTAAGTTCTTCTGTAACTTTAGATTGTAGTGTGAAGCATTCATTGTAACGTTTAACCTGATTGTGATGAAGAAGCTCTGGACAGATCATTTATACTAATGCCCACTGACATGGTTTGAAAATCTACTGTTATCTAACTTTTGCTCTCCAAGCATCTTAGTTTGCACATATTTAGATCAGAGAAGTCTTTTTCTCATGGTGTGCCCACAAACCCTTTCAATAAGTTCAGTGTTTGGGCCGCTGTAATTATAGAATCCTGCTTACGTCCGTGCTTATCAGTAGGTGGCGCTATGACTATGAGTTAATATTGGCATGCAGAAGTCCTAAAGCCATGACAGTCAACAAGCATGTCAAGTTTGGGACAGTTTTGACAAAGTACAGTCAAGTTACAACAGCTTGATGGATGATGGCGAACCATGTAAAATGGCCGTCACACCATATCCACGTCGTTCGATGAAACCTAAAGCTTTTAGTAACTTTTAATCGCTAAGGTCTTTAGATTGTTCTGACCAAATTCCTGGAAATGCACCTGGAAATGGAAAAAAACACGAGAAATTCATACAAAATTCAAAATGGCTGACTTCCAGTTGGGTTTAGAGCATGGTCCCCTCAGACTTTTTTTAAGTCTACATGTGATACACCTGCTTACCAAATTTTATACATCTAGGTGAAACGTACTGCGAGGGCTGCATCGTTGAAATATTGTAGGGGGCGCTATCGAGCCGACTTGCCACTCTGAAGCGTTAAAATCACAATAGATAACTACATTCAGGATTTTAAATGTGTGTGACAAGTGTGATTATGTTTTGAGCATTTTTAGCCTCTCAAAAACACTTTAATCTTTCATGGTGAAGAATGCGTCGCCACGGCAAAATCTTTTCACGAAACAACAAGCTTTGAGTAACTTTTCATCACAAAAGTCTTTAGATTGTTCTGAACAAATTTGAAGTCGATTCGATTATTTCCCTAGGAGGAGGTCGTTAGAGTACAGCACCTGGAAATGACAAAAACGCCACTAGAAATTCATAAAACATTCAAAATGGCTGACTTCCGGTTGGGTTTAGAGCATGGCTCCAAGAGACTTTTTTTTAAGTCCACATGTGATACATGTGCCTACCAAATCTTATAAATCTATGTGAAACGTACTGTGAGGGCTGCTTCGTCGAAAATTTGTAGGGGGCGCTATTGAGCCGATTTGCCACTCTGAACCAATAAAATCACATTACATAACTACATTTTGGGCTTGTAATCTGTGTGCCAAGTTTGCTTATGTTTCGAGTATTTCTAGCCTCTCAAAATTACCTTAGTTTTTAACGGCGAAGACTGCATCGCCCCGGCAACGGCGTTCGACGAAACATCAAAAGCTTCATGAACTGGCATTATGAACTTGTTATATTTGTGTGGAACGAATTTGATGTTGATCTGATTTACCTACTAAGAGAAACAAGCCAAAGTATAATGACTTTAACTGACTGTTACCAGTAGGTGGCGCTATGACTATGATTCAAAATTAGCCTGCAGATGTCTTCAGGCCTGGAGTCCAATCAAACATGTGCAATCTGGTAAAGATCTGATGATGTGGATACATCAGTTTATTTGTTCATGGCGAAGGATCGAAATTAAACACGTAACATATAATAAACACATTGTAACATATAATAAACACATTGTAACATATAATATTCATAATTAGGAGCTTCAAAACTTAAATTCCTCACAATATGAACAAAAGTGCAATAACACTTTAAACACATCAGGTTCTTTTCAACAGCAGCAAGAGGAATTTTTGTGCGTCCCATCACGTTCCACATACCTACCAGAGTTCATACAGCTAGGAGAAACCCAATGTTGGAGCTGCTCAATAGGGGGCGCTATCGAGACAACTTTTTTATCCCGCAGCTGAACACCCCAATCACACTGCAATTTTTGCCACGACTGCCTTGCGTGCCAAACTTCAAAACTCTTACCAGTATCCCAAGCACCTCCTTTTTGCAACGAAAGTGGTACGATAACAATAATAAACATTAGAAGAATAGGACCTAATTAAACGGATTCTCTCAACAAAAACATTTTATTCAAACTTAAGTTTAACTCTAATTTATTATTTTAACATCTTTAATTTATGAATTGTTTCTGTCTACCATGTAATATACATGTAATTCAATCTCAATAAATTAAACATGAAAGACGATAACTAATACTTCAAATCAATTTACGAATATTACTTTATTTCGTAATTTAAAAAAAAGTCAACCTTGTTTTTATCTTTTAAAACAAATGTTTGCTTTTAAATGTGGACTTTAAACTCACTCCTGTTTACCTTATAAGGACTTCCTGTTTATACAGACACACACACACACACACACACACACACACACACACACACACACACACGCGAGGGTCTCTGCTGAAACTGTCTGTCTGAACTCATCTGTCTGTCTTCACTTCTGTCAGCAGGATGCAGCGTCTCAGGGTTATGAAGGTTCTCAGGGTCCTGGTCCTGGTCCTGGTTCTGGGGTCTGTGCAGCGTTCAGGTCGGTCTGGGTTATTTGTCGTCGTTATTTAAATTCTGAACAGACAACAGATGATTATTTAACATTTTATTATTAACCGTCACGTGAACAAGAAATATATAGAAAGAAGTATATACATGTATAAATACTGTGATATATATGTACACATGTATAAATACTGTGATATATATGTACACATGTATAAATACTGTGATATATTTGTACACATGTATAAATACTGTGATATATTTGTACACATGTATAAATACTGTGATATATATGTACACATGTATAAATACTGTGATATATATGTATAAGAAGTCTCACTCCTCGTTGGCCTTGTTGGAAGTTTGCCTGATAATTGTGCAACTTTTGGAAACAAACTTTCCCCTGTGACGAAATCCTGAACATTCTCCTAGTACATACACACACACAGACACACACACACACATACAAACACACACACAGAGACAGACACACTTTGCACACACACACACACACACACAGACTGCACACACACACACACACACACACACACACACACACACACACACACACAGAGACACACCTACACACACACTGTGGAAGTGAAACTGCATTAATCATCATAATTATGTGCTGATGTTTCATTTCATTATTCTGCTTATATGCTTTTCGTGTGTGTGTGTGTGTGTGTGTGTGTGTGTGTGTGCGTGCAGAGTGTGTGCAGTGTTTTGCACGTTTCAACCTGACCCTGGGTCAGTGTGATGAAGAGCTCGGTGAGGTGGAGGAAGACGACTGCTGTCAGAATCCTCACTTTGGTTACCAGGCAACAGACGGAGTGTGTCGTTCCTGTGGGTCAGTGTCAGGTGTCCTCTTACAGACGACAACAGACTCCAGGTGTCCTCTTAGAGACGACAAAGACTCCAGGTGTCCTCTTACAGACGACAACAGACTCCAGGTGTCCTCTTACAGACGACAAACACTCCAGGTGTCCTCTTAGAGACGACAAAAGACTCCAGGTGTCCTCTTACAGACGACAACAGAGTCCAGGTGTCCTCTTACAGACGACAACAGACTCGAGGTGTCCACTTACAGACGACAACAGACTCCAGGTGTCCTCTTASAGACGACAACAGACTCCAGGTGTCCTCTTASAGACGAYAAMAGACYCCAGGTGTCCTCTTACAGAYGACAACMGACTCCAGGTGTCCTCTTACAGACGAYAACAGAMTCCAGGTGTCCTCTTACAGACGATAACAGACTCCAGGTGCCCTCTTACAGATGACAACAGACTCCAGGTGTCCTCTTACAGATGACAACAGACTCCAGGTGTCCTCTTAGAGACGACAACAGACTCCAGGTGTCCTCTTAGTCAAATCAGTAACATCAGTCTGTGTTTCCAGTCCTCCAGTGTGGTCTCCCTGGTCGCCTTGGTCACAGTGTAACATCCTTTGTGGAGAAGGAGTGATGCAGAGAAGCAGGAAGTGTTTTGGTATCGGAGTCTCAGAATGTGAGAATCCTGAAGAGAAACTGGAGACAAAAGCCTGTAACGGGACCTGCTGTGATGGTACACACACACAATACACACACAATACACACATGTTGAATTTGTACATCATAAATGTGTGTGTATGTGTGTGTGTGTGTCTGTCTGTATGTGTGGTTGTGTCTGTAGGTAAGGGGTGGGGCTTGTGGCTCACCTGGTCTCCCTGCTCGGTGACCTGTGGAGGAGGCGGAGTCAGGAGCAGAGAGAGAGTCTGTTCTCGTCCTGAATGTCACTTGGCCTGCACAGGTCCTTCAGAGGAGACAGACAGGTGTCCAACCCACACCAGCTGTCCAGGTAACCTGTCTAACTGTCTCTCTCTCCCTTCCTGTCTAGCTGTCTCTCTCTCCCTTCCTGTCTAGCTGTCTCTCTCTCCCTTCCTGTCTAACTGTCTCTCTCTCCCCTCCTGTCTAACTGTCTCTCTCTCCCTTCCTGTCTAACTGTCTCTCTCTCTCCCCTCCTGTCTAACTGTCTCTCTCTCCCCTCCTGTCTAACTGTCTCTCTCTCAGTTCATGGTGGGTGGTCCAGGTGGTCCGGTTGGCGTGATTGTTCAGGTTCTTGTATCAGTGATGTCATCGTCCCCTCCAGAGTGCGATATCGTTCTTGCTCTAGCCCCGCCCCTTCCAATGACACCGTGCCATCTGGCAACAGTTGCCCTGGAGACGGGTTCCAGACCAAAGACTGCAGCGAGCTCCCCAACTGTCCAGGTGAGTCCTTATATAGACATGAAAGACTACCGGGTGTCCTCGTAGAGACGATAACTCACTGTGTTTCTGTCTGTCTCTGGACCAGTGGACGGAGGTTGGGGGTCTTGGTCTCCCTTATCTTCCTGTCCTGTTACCTGTGGGGTGGGGCTTCAGGAGTCACTCAGGAGATGTGATAGCCCCGCCCCCAAACATGGCGGCCGGCCATGTCCTGGAGAGGGACGTAGAACCAGCATCTGTCGAACCAACTCCCACTGTCCAGGTACACACCAGGTCTGTGTCCTTTCTGTTTCTCTGTCGTCTCTCTGCTCTCGTGACTCCAGCAGGACTTGTGTCTTTCAGTGGACGGCATGTGGTCAGAGTGGTCTCGATGGGGCCAGTGTAAATACGCATTCGAGAAGAAGGACATCCACTGTAAGCAGATCGGAGGAAGACAGACCAGAGACCGTATGTGTCTTCATCGAGCTCACAACGGGTCTATCTGCAGAGGGGACACTCTGATGGAGAGTAGGGTCTGCTATGATGTCACCAGCTGTTACCGTGGGTGATATGCACACACACACACGCTGCTGGGTATGCTTTAGGGCGGGGCTACACAGTGATTGACATGTCCACACCACGGCGATATGTATTACACATTATATATTATTTATTACAAATATGTGTGTTACAGCTCGGGGCAGCTGGGACGGCTGGAACGAGTGGAGTTTGTGTTCTCCGCCCTGTGGAGGAGAATCCCAACGCCGAAGGACTAGAAGATGTAAACCTGATTACAGCGACTACAAGTGAGTTTACTGTCTGGAGACTGGGGGACGAGTGGGGGACAAAGGGGGACGAGTGCGGGATGCGTGGAGGACGAGTTGAGGACGAGTGGAAGACAATAGAGGGACGAGAGGAGTTCAAATCTAACCTCATGCATTTTTCTGCTCGTTTTAAAACTCCCCCTACAGTCTGAAGACTGTA